TTTTTATCTTCTATTTTTTCTCAGACAGTTATTTTTTATAGTAACCTAGAAAATATATTCTTTCATCATTACCATAATGGATTATGATCAATATATTTTATTTACAAATTGTAAAGCATTATAGAGTATGATCTTATAACGCTGTATTTATGCAATGAATATCAATAAATTGTAATTATCATTAAATTACCACAATCTATAAATGGAGGTATAACGACATATTTTTAAAGAAGGCATGTTACTTTAGTTATTAAATCCAGATACCCTGAGGCATCAACATAATATATATTATCATTTCTTTGACTGTATACTTATCCATGAGCTTTATTCAAAAAATATACAGTTCAATATTTGTTAAAAAGCTTTGGGAAAGAGGTTAACTTGCAAATTCACAGACAGTGAGAGTGTTTGCATAGAAGAAAATTATAAAATATGATAACTATGACCCCAAGAAACCTTGTTTTATCGACAGTATCTTGATAGAAGAGGGAAAAGAGTATGTCTTCATGAATACTACATTTAGTGCATTGCAAGTAATGAAACAGCGTAATGAAGTCTGTCACAGAAAATGGCCAAAAATAATTTGCACATTTAAATCATAAACAAACATTTTAGTAACAAAGGTTTTATCTTATAAGTGATTTTGAGGGAAAATGCTTTCAATTTTATTATTCTATTTCAATCCAATTGCCGTGCATTGAATGGAATAATAACTAAAAATCAAATGGAAGCAAGCCTGAAAATAGGAATTCAAGTGGACATTATTGAGACAATGATAAGAAAACTTCAAAAAGAAAAAATTATATTTCTGCAAAAAATGCTAATTCTAACATGCTCAATATACAAACAATACAAATTTTAAACAAAAATAATAATAAAAAAACAGGAAGAAAGAAGAAATTTTATTATTATCAAGAAATAGGTGATAATTGTACAAAATTTAAGACAGCTATACCTAATACTATTAGCATATGTATTTCAATCTTTATAAAAAAAATGTGTCAATTTCTATCTTAATCAAAGATTTTTACAATCTTTATTATTATTATAACGTTGCAGGTGTACAAGGAAGTGACAGAGCGACTGCCGTCTGGTAATAAAGGGGTGTCCATAATAAAATATTACGAAAAAAAAAAAATATAAAGACCACTTACCTATAACTAATAAAATAAAAAAGATTGTTAAAGAACTGTGCTGTTCAACCTCAGGTGATTCTACTTTCTCCTCTGGMGGTTCTGTAGGTTTTAAAGTTGTAGGAGCAGGGGTTGTTGGAATGGGAGTAGTAGCATTCGATCGAGAGATGTTCCTGTTGAAAAAGAAGTGTAAACTATACCATTTGAAACGATTTTTTCCTATATTTTATGATCATAAATATATATTTTGATACTCAGGATTTTACGCATTACAAGAATAAGTTTGATTGATTGATAAAAGGTGCAACATATTTGTCTTGCTTACGTTGAAGCATTCGTAGGTCGTARGGTTGGAGGTACCGTRGGACTTTTCTGTACTGTGGCGTAAATTCCGACAAAAGTRACAAGGAAAATACTCAAAAYTTTCCGCCAAGTCTCCTTCATTGTGGRAAAATTGATGTGGTGTCCGTTCCTTCCAGTTAGAATGCATGAAAAGACATTAGATTCAGTCCTTTAACCAACGTCTTGGAAATTATTCTATCGTCATACAAGGGAAATAAACAGTGACAACCGGTGTTCTGCGCATGCCTCGTCRCCACGACCGCGTCCTTTCGAAAACATTCGGAAATTGTTCGCTGCTGTCTCGGAAAATATTCGGAAAAAATATGAGCCCACGATATTTCTAAACAGCGGTTTTCTAAAGCGTTTATTATTGTTACCATAACAACACCAATAGCTCGGCGCCATTTTGGAATAAAAGTACTGCAAGGACAACAACTGAGATCTCGTACATCTATTGGAATTTCTCAAATATAAACATCGCATCAACAGATTTTATCTGCCTAACTTATGGATACTTATCTAAAGGGAAATCAAGAWTTCAAAGCTCTTTAAAACATGGGAACTTCACTTCATATTCATCAAAACCTCAACGTTGAGTAATCTACAATGTTGGTTTCGTCGAGTTTGTAAAACTTAAGATTTCCTTATTTGTGTGGGTTTGATAAAGCTTCATTATGGCCAGTAAATTGATGGCAATGATCGAGAAACGAACTAAGCCTGTTGATGAGGAAAAAATAGGCAAAGTTAGTTCACATTGGAAACTTATTCGCGACTCYGTCCAGAGAGGACAAGGAGAAGATCCCTCAAAAGTTGACAAACAGCAGTCGACACGGATAGGCCACGGTGTACACAAATTATCAAGTATMAAATCTGATTTTGGGTTTATTAGTGTGGTTTATAATCCATCGAAATCGCAATATGCTGGAATCAGTCCAGAAGGACGAATAACTGTCTGTTCCTCAAGTGGCGTTCAAAAACATGTTAATAGATATTTAAATGAACCTCTTCGTGGGCTCGTGTATGCTGGCAAWACTAGAGAATATGTTGGATGGGGCGATGATGAAAATATAAGGGTAAGGCTGTCGTTTTTACTTTATAGGGTAAAAAAATTGAATAGTGAATGGAAGAAAATGAAAGCTATCGTGAAAAATATGTTATAATTTTATTTCTAAAACATGTTGGCTATCGTAACATTGATGATGTGCAAAGTAGGGAAAATGATTTTGACATGATATTAAATGCATATTCCTTTATGTTTATTAGCTGATGACGGAAGATTTTAAACTGTTAAGTACTACATCATCTATCAGCACAATCTTGTGGTAAGCTCCCAGCAGTCACAACTTATAAATATTCAATGAGTTGATAAGAGAACTGYACTTGATCTTGTACAGTGTTATGGTTACAAAACAATCATCTTCGATTGTATTTGTCTTTACAGTGGTGTATTTAATGAG